TTTATATAACAGGGTGGATACAAACCATTTATATGACAGGGTGGATACAAACCACTTATATAACAGGGTGGATACAAACCATTTATATGACAGGGTGGATACAAACCATTTATATGACAGGGTGGATACAAACCATTTATATAACAGGGTGGATACAAACCATTTATATAACAGAGTGGATACAAACCATTTATATAACAGAGTGGATACAAACCATTTATACAACAGGTTGGATACAAACCATTTATATAAAAGGGTGGATACAAACCATTTATATAACAGAGTGGATACAAACCATTTATATAACAGAGTGGATACAAACCATTTATATAACAGAGTGGATACCAACCATTTATATAACAGGGTGGATATAACCATTTATATAGCAGGCTGGATACAAACCATTTATATAACAGGGTGGATATAAACCATTTATATAACAGAGTGGATACCAACCATTTATATAACAGGGTGGATATAAACCATTTATATAACAGGGTAAATGCAAACCATTTATATTACAGGGTGGATACAAACCATTTATATAACAGGGTGGATACAAACCATTTATATAACAGAGTGGATACAAACCATTTATATAACAGGGTGGATACAACCATTCATATAACAGAGCGGAAACAAACCATTTATATAACAGAAAAATAAATCAAACTTTTGTTTGTGAGTGAATTTTTGAGAATATTTAATTTAAACTCATAATTCTGCTGAACTTCACTAAGTTAAGTCCCAAAAGCTAAGAAAATTAGATTTAAACTAAATTTTTTATTTTATGATCTAGTTTAGCTGAAACAAATCTGTCAATTTTAGTAAAACAAAATTCCCATTTTATTTTTCATCTAATTAAAACAAATGAAAAACAATTAAGATAAATTATTGATTAGTAGTTTAATTAAGATTTCCAGCGAAAAAGGGTAAATCGTTTTGCGAAAGACATTTCGGGATATTTCGCATCGTTTTTGGATTTTAACTTATTTCATTTTCGCAAAATACGAACGAAAATTTTCGCATGTTTTCCGCGAACGTTTTCGTTCGCTGGAAACCCTAAGAAAACACAAGAAACTTTGAAATTTGGATACTTTTAAAAAATTTCAAGTGATCCTCTTTTTTAATCATTCTGACTGGAGACCCTAGATAGCTGTTTAACAGTCTACAGGTACCCTAGGAAATTGGAAATAGGAGAAGCCACTCTTTAACGTAGTGTCATCAGAATTGAAATTGCAAAATACCTTAGTTAAATAACAATTGCTTCTTAATTCTGTCGGTGACCTGACTCTCTAATACCAAAGGATGGCAAACACAAAATGACGCGAGAATTTTGACGTAAAAATATTTATTTATACAATAATTCCCAATGACGGAACAATTAGTCTTTTAATCAATACTGAGAGTTATTACAATGCAATTAGTAATTCATTTTGTAAATATACATCTGGCTTAAACTTAGTCTACGGGAAAGTTCTGGTTAGTTAAAAAGATACTGTCGAGATACAGTTTTCAAAATTAGTAAAAATCTATATAAAAATGAAGGGCTTAAAATGTCATTCATATCTGTGCTTTGTGGTATGAGCAATGAGCATTACAGTTTCTCATCACTTCATAGTAAATACCAAAATTTAGGATTTCGCTAACAAAAAAAGTATATTCCCCGGTCTTAGTCCCTTGATTTCATTTATAGCAGACATATAATTCAGATGGCTTTTTCGGCTTCACGTAAAAGTTAAAACAATTGTGAATGTAAAATTACAATTAGCATTAATCATCATGAAATACTAGAAGAAAATGTATTTTACAATATTCAAAAAAATTGATTTAAATCTTACTGGATGCTTTAATCATGACTTTATAGATCCTCTTAAAATTCATCATTTTATAAAAGAAACATTTCATACATTTTCTAATTGGACTGCAAAACTTGAAAGTACTTAATTGGGTCTTTTCAATAACAAATATTTTTTTAAATGAAGAAAGACGATTTTTTATAATTATAAATTTCATGTAAGAGTCTTGATCTCAAAAATATTTTAAAAATTCAAATAAACAAAAAGTTCTACAAAAACGTATTTTCACCCTAGGTTTAGATGCAAGATTTACAAGGAGCTGTAAGATATTGGCAACAGTTTCGTTTGTATTTTTGTGCTCGCTCAAATGGACTTGTATGAAAGTGGTAAAAAAACAAGCAAATTAAATATCTTAAATGTTGAAAAAAAACGAATATACAACAGCTTAAAAAAAATAAAGAATATCATTAAATAAAATAGTTTCTAATCATAAAATTAGAGCTAAATTCGGTCTAAAAATCTTGGAAAAAAAAACTAGTTCACATAATTGAAGAAATGTTAATAAATTCATATACAGTAAGAAGCAACACACTGTGGAATATATGTCGTCTTTGTTCTTCCGTTTACTCATGAAATGTCGCTAAGAACCAGTGTTTAGGATCCATTTAAATTTGATGCGGATCCGGATCCTGAATACGCATTAAAAAATGGATCCGGATCCAGGTCGTTTCTTTAAGATTTAACGAAAAACAATTTTCAATTTTTTTTTTCGCTTATTTTTATCCTAAAACTTTATGAACCATTTAGAAATGAGGAAATTTTTATAATCTCTCTTTTTTTTCAAAAGCTCGGATTTGGGTTTTAGGAGTAAAAAAGTTTTTTTTTGTAGTTTTTGGTTGATATTTTACACCTAGGATCCGGATCCGTGGATCCGCATACTTTTGCGGATCCGGATCCAGGAAGCCAAAATCTTGCGGATCCAACGGATCAGGATCCGGAATCCGGATTCTAAGCACTGCTACGAGCATCGCAATTTACAAATCCGTAATGTTAATTATAATAAAGCAATTAACAGACAACAAGAATTCCACTGTTTTCCGGGTCTTACTGTAATACAATAATTGACGTACACAGTAAAATAAGTAAATAAAATCATTATCTTCAGATAGAACGTTAACTCTATATTGTAAATGTTGTACATCATACAAGTCAGTATTAGTTATTTATGTCCAGTGTCGACAGAACCCTGTTACCGGTATCTTCCCTACAAGCCAGTTTTGAGGTTAATAGGTTCACCGGAACTTGTAAATGTTTAGGCGAGCATGGGTGAACTGAAAAAAGTGCTTGCGCTTTCTCTGATGGCATTTTGTCTTCCTTTGCTGGTTTTTGGAGTAAGTCCGGTGTCACTGAAATATACATATTATTTTTATTTTTCGCGATTTCAAAAACATATTTTACTCTGTCAAAATGATTATGTATAATCTAAATATTTAAAATAGTTTGAACATTTTTAAAATGATAATCAAAAAATTATATTATATATTTTCGTATATTTAAAAAAAAACTTTTAGACTGACAATAATTTGAAGGATTCATTGTTCATTGGTAAAGCGTGATAAAGGCCGGCAAAGTAGGCCTGATGACAAAAACAAGTAAACTAATTATTAATTACGTTACCTGATAATAGGTTTAAACATTTCCGGCGAGCAGGGACTCAGAATATTATTAGACCTGAATAAAAAGAATCCTTAATTTAATTGATTTTTCCCCTTCAAGTTATACTTGAAATGTTTACATTCAATGGTTCAGGAATCATAAATTTCGCTTTTATTATTATTTTATTGGAATTTTTTAAAAATCGAATTTTGAAAGAAAAAATTAATTAAATTTTTTTAGCCAATCTTATCCCCGGGGTACTCAAGGTTTCTCTCAAAAAATGTCAGACCATTCGATCCAGCCGTTTGGCCAGCTATAGCTGACGTTTATATAATATATATATATATATATACAAACAGATATATATATAATATATATATATATACATATGAGAGAAGAGCTTTATTATTTAGATTATTAATGAAAAGTGTATGAATACCTTTGAAAAGCTCCTATATTTTTACTAATGATTATGTTAAGGATTTAGCACATAAAATATCATAATTCTAAATTTATTGGCAAAATAAACAAAATAATATAGATTTATATTAGACTTGGATGATAAAATGATTTTTACCTGGGGTACAAACTGTTGTTATCTTCAACATCAATATATCCCTTCCAGTAATCTACTTCTAGTTCCATTAATCTCTCCATAGCCAGGCTCATGTGTTCGAGCTAAACAAAAATGTATTATAATACATCATCTTTATTCTTTAATTCAAAAAAAATAGTACCCAGGAAGGTTGTTTTAAATCACTGAAAAATGTAAACATTCAGATAACAAAACAAAACATAACTAGTTGTGAATCGATAGACTAAAGTTTGCGGTAAAGTGAATTTTAGCATCAATTAATTAACAAATTCAAAAATTCTATAATCCAAAGTCATAATATAATTATAATTTATATATGTATTGTATTGTATTTCACTTCTGAGACTAGGTTAATAAGGATAAGGATAAGGATAAGGATAAGGATAAGGATAAGGATAAGGATAAGGATAAGGATAAGGATAAGGATAAGGATAAGGATAAGGATAAGATAAGATAAGATAATACTAATAAGTTAAGGAACAAACTGGAAGCTATCATGTTTTGAAATAAACAGCAGGAAATTTTATTTAATTAATAGATTTCTGAGAATTTTAGAAACAACATTGAAAAAGTTTCTTTGTTCTGGAAATCACTTAAAAACAATGAACAAAGAAACTTCAAAGACAACTTTTAGAATGTTAGCTTATACAATGAAAAAAAAAAACCAACAGCACAGACCACAACCCACAAAGTACAAAATTATCTAAATGGTGCAATAGCTAAAAAAGATGTCAAAAAAAGAACAATTAAAACAAAATAAATATTTCAGAAACACAAGAACACATTAAATTACAACAGATGATAACATGAACAGGGGAATGCCGTGCATAAAGTTATTAAATAACTAATATCAAAGTTACAAATTAAGAACAGGTCAGAACTTTCAACAAGGAAAAAACAAAAGTATATTAAAAAAAGTTATAAATCAATAAACAAAAAAGTTCACAAAGCTAAAGAATGCAAAAGCAATGGGAGAGGTCATAAAAAATTACGCTAATCGGCCCTTTATTTAAAGACATTACCTGGTACATTGCAGAATCCCCATCAGTTTGATCTGGGTTTCCTGTAGCCTAAAAATGTATATACATCTGAGTTTCTAAATGTTTTCAGCTACAAAACGGGGTTTTAATTTTTCAGGTTATCCCCCCATCCTAACCTGGGGGGTAAGCTGGTGAAGATTTTACATGGTTTATAAATTCTGATGTTTGTCTTGTACTTTTTAAACTAAAATTCCTATTTTTGACTAAATTGACCTGAATAAACTCAGACCACATTGAATGAGGTATAAGAGGTTCTCTAAGAGATCGAAGAAAATCTTTGACACATCCACAAAGCACATGAACATCAATCTAAAATAAAAAAGTTTTCATTAAGATCAATAAACTTAACATAACGTGCATACATAATGTACCGAATCTGGCAAGTTTTATCTTCAAACAAAAGGGCGACTTTCAGAGGGGGGGGGGCTGGATCAGTGAAATATAAGATTTCCCGTTTATTTGGGCCCGAATGGGTGCTGACTGCTGAGTCCCCCTGGAAGGGACAAAAATGTAAGCCCCCTGGACAAATTCCTGAATACGCCAGGATATGAACTAAACTTTTGACACTCCAGAACTCACCCTAGCTAGGATCGGACATCCTTTTCCCCTGAGGAATCTCTCTTTGAGCTCTTTCACCTCCCGTTCACTTCCGGGAACACGGTAGATTCCAACCTCAGTTAGGGCTCGCTTCTCAATCTAACAGAATAAGAAATATTAGGGATTTTAGAAATTCAAATGGTCAACTTCTGCGCATACATTGATAAATTCTCAGTTTAGGGGAATCTTTATTTTTGATTATTAAGATATTTGAAAGCTGAATCAAGAATTAGCTTGATAAATGTTCATTTATCCCGAAAGAACTTATTACGTTTAAAACGAAGATAATGAGAACTATTAGTAACAATATATACAAAATATGTCGAGGACATTTAAAAATTGTCTTACTTAATCATAAAATTAAAATACCTCGTTTACGCAGTGTACAATTAGTCCTGGTACCATTGGGGACTGTGGAGGGGTAAAATCTGCGAGAACATGGAGGGCAGTCTTCCCAGGTGTTAGTCTTACACTTCCAGGTCCAATACACGGCAACGGCACCTAGCATTAAGGACCTATTTATCTGTATATAAATTTGTCTTGTCTGTCTATTTGGCTGTCTATTTGTATCCAATACACGGCAACGGCACCTAGCATTAAGGACCTATTTATCTGTATATAAATTTGTCTTGTCTGTCTGTTTGGCTGTCTATTTGTATCCAATAGACGTCAAAACGGCTGAACCGATCGGGCCCAATTTTTTTGTGGGACATCACGTGACCACATGGAAGGTTTACGAATGATAAAATTTTCTTAAAAATGTGTTTTAAAGGTTTTTCATCTTGTAGAAAAATTTAAATTCTTGAAAATCCGCGAAATTTATTTCTTCTTTGTTTTAAAATGTAAATAAAAAGAACATGTTCAAAATTCAAATAGAAGATGGGCGCGAAGCGCCCTAAAAGCCTAGTATAAATATATTTCAGTTGCGTAATTAAAAATGGGACCCTTAAATTTCACCAAACACAATGTAAACTTTGTACTTCACATTCACAGAAAAGAGAACTCAGGTCTAAAGTTTTTAACTGTTAATCCTTTTGGAAAGTGTTCATTTTTTGTGGTAAGCGGAATAAGTCAATTCCTTTGGATTTCTAAGAGACTGGAATTTGGAAAGCATGACAAATCAGAATCTTAAATCGATTCAAATTCAAATTTTTTACTTTGGGTCATTTGGTATCGTGCTCGGGCGCGAATTGAAGATTAACACTCTATTTACTTGGTTGGAGGAACTTAAATTATAATATTTAATTTGTATTCTTTACCTTATCCTTACACTCGGGGTGTGCAATAGCACGACAGTCACGACATTTGTACGCGGCTCTTCCCCATTTGAACCTAAACAGTAAACGGTTGATTTAAATAGTCTATTTTAAAGTAAAGAAGAAAACTTGTGTTTTTAAAGTTAACCAAGAGACATGATTGTTGAAGCTTAATGGAAAGGGTGATATTATGTAACTTAAAGTTGGTTAGAAGGTTACTTACTTGTTTCCACATGGCGAGCAGGTCTCAAATTTATACACTTTCTTCTGCTCAAAAACGTGACGCCTGTAATTTTGTAAATAAGAAAAAGAGACATTATAAGATAGGTTTAAATCTTATTTCAAAATGTAAACTATGATTTAATAAAGTACCTTGCGTTAATTCCAACGTTGGAGTGGGAACGTTGTACACTAGGGGTCCCAGGAAAAACATCCGAGATACGTTTTCCGCGCTGAAAATAAAATTACTCAAAAAATATGAATTCGTAAAAATTAAGTTTAGGCCTTTTTTAAGTAAGTGGCTTATATATACATTTTCTTCGAAAGAATTATTTTCCTAGCTGCATATTGGATAGAGTAGTTTTACTCTGTTATTACTTCAAACGATAGTAATGTTGGATCTACAAAACGCGCGCTTACAAACAGGGAAGAAAAGTCAACTTACTTAATATGGAGGGGGGGATAAACTCTAAGTAAGAATATTCACCCCTGCCTGTACTGAACACTATAATTACCTGTGGACTATTATGAGCTGCTTGCCAACAAATATCTCCCTCGGCGGGTGGGGCACTAGGAGTGTACTCTTCCATGTTTACATTTTGCCCACTAAACAACATACATTCAAGATAAAATAAATTAAGTCGTGAATTTTGTAAAGGAAAAACAAAGCATACTAATTAGGATTTATTTAAGAAAACTGAGCTGAAAACTTCAGAATGAGATATCCTAAATCCCGATCGGTTAATTAATCTTAAGATTAATAACAAGAAGAGAACAAGCATTATTTAATCTGGAGATTAAGAAAAAGAGTCGATGTCGATCAAGTATTAAAACCGATATCCACCATTTAAAAGTTCCCAGCTCAGATCTTTTAAATTTAAGAGTAGTCTTCAGAAATGTTGACCTTTGTTAACAGCCAAGAATTTTGCAAAAAGTATTTTTAAAATTCTACCTTCTCCTAACTGATCTTCTTGCTGCAATTTTCTCTAGAGATTTCCTAGTGCTAACTAGCACTGCGTCTAATCCCTGTACACCCTGTACAGTAAAGAACCGTGTAAACTGGCCATAAAGATTTATTGATATAAAAAGGTGTATTCATAAGGGGATGTGATATTATTGTATTTAAAGAGTATTTATTATGATTTAAACCTATTATTACAACAATATTATTTTTTTCATAGCTATAAAGTTCACCAGTTGCTTAAATAGTCTTATTATAATGAATTAGTATGAATTTTAGTAGGTTTCAACTACTTTCATATTGAAAAACACAATATGGCCAAAAAAAACAACAATAAAACCCAATGGGCTGGTTTTTTAAAAACCCGGGTTTTTGCCAACCATGGTTTGAATTCATGTTCATTAATTCAACAAAATTTCGACTTTTCAATATTTAACTTCAAGCTTTTTAATTCCTTCAGTTCATTAAGCTGTTCACATTAGACGGGTATAAATTTCATTGACATACCCCCCCCCCCTTTCTGTTCCGTTTTTAAACAAAATCAATAGTCAGGAGAGTCAATCAGACAGATTTTAGTAGTTGTAACTTTCTTACAAAAATTGAAATGTTGAAAATTTTCTGCTGCATTTGAAAACTGAATTAATACCTGATTCTCAACACTAAGATTCCGACCTTCAGAACCACGAGACCTCTTAGATCTAAATATGATTCATCCTATGACTCATTTCACTTCATTTAACACTTTTCTAAATGAATGAACTACTTTAAAAGATCCAGAAAATAATACATTTCAAGTACGGAGATAATTTCCAACTCTTTTTAAGTATTTTTCTTAATTTTTTTCTAGAAAAGAAATATAAAAAAAATAGCAAAAAGAAAATATTGAATATTCAAAATAACTTCAATTCCTGTTAAACTTGAGTAACCAATTTGTTGCCATCAAATTTTTAGGTTGATCAATAAGTATTTATTTTTAAAGAGGAGGGAAAGAAGAAAAATCAGAAGATGCACAAAAAGAGTTAAAAGAAATGAGAATGCATCAAAGAAAAAATTTATTAATTAAAAATTTGAATTTTTATAAAACGTAAAACATATTGCATGTAAAAATGACTCAGAAAAAAATTTAGGTCCAAAAATCGTTCTCTAGGACAGACTCGAAGGTTAAGCTTAATAGAAATAACAGGGTAGAAATTGATTAAAATTGATTTTTGCACATGTAGTTGATATTTGAATAGTACCTGGAGACATTACCAGCCTGGCTCCTTGCTTCAGACTGGTAACCGATGCCTCTAATCGTTTTAGCTTTTGCCTGGAAATACAGATTTAAATCAATTCGTATTTTAAAATTCTGAAAATCTGCCACATCTTCACAGGGTAGGGACTACAAAATTTAGCTAGTCTATTTAATCATATCCGATAAGCGTAAAACGTCTGGGCCGATTGAGCTTAAATCTTTTTGGCAATAAACCCCAGGACTGCTTTATGGAAGATTAACCTTATGGAATTTTGAAAATCCACCGATAAAAAAAAATTTGCGAAATCTCTAAAATTGTATATTATGACGTATGAAGAAATAATTTGGATTAATTACATCTTCTTTCTACGCATAATAATATATTATTTCTAAAATCTGTGGATACATTACTTATTGACCGCGGATTAAGGGACAACAATAGTTTCCAATATTTTACCTTGTTTCATTGTTCAGAGTGTTCCCATTGTCTGTTAACAATAGTTCACGAACCATTTCAAACTTTTGAGATATTGCCTAAACAATAAAAATAAGAAAACCTTTTATTTGACAAACTATGAGAAAATAAAAATCGCTTAGGCTAAGGACTAAAATGAGTACCCGCTCATCCGACCTTTAGTTAACTGACCTAAAATTGTATTATATCTTAAAATAGGTTAGGTTACGTTAAGCTGTGTATGAGCAGTTGGATAAGTAATAGACGTAGTTATTAGGGGGAGTCGATTTGAATCCGTAAAAACTAGGGCTGGGAAAAGTTCCGTTAACAAAACGGAAGCTTTCGAAAATAAACGGAAGAGTCCGTTAAAGAACGACCAAAACCAAAGCTTTAATGAACAGATAAACCAATAACGAAAACGAAAGCGAAAGATTTTGTTACGAAAATGGTATATTTAGTTTTTTTTTCTGCTTAAAATTGAATCCAACTTTTTTACAAGTTTTGCTGTTTTCAAAGGCCGTCTTCTGTATTAGAAATCTTTCGTTTTAGAAAATAACATAAAAGAATGCTATTTTATGAATTGGCCAACCTTTGAATTAAAAAAAAGGTTGAATTTGTCCAGTTGTGAAAGAATCTGGACTTTCCTCAGAATAGGATAAATATATTTGATTTGGATATCTAAATACTCCTCAGTTCGTAGAATAGGATAAATATATTTGATTTGGATATCTAAATACTCCTCAGTTCGTAGAATAGGATAAATATATTTGATTTGGATATCTAGATACTCCTCAGTTCCCAGAAAAGGATAAATATATTTGATTTGGTTATCTAAATACTCCTCAGTTCGTAGAATAGGATAAAAATATTTGATTTGGATATCTAGATACTCCTCAGTTCGTAGAATAGGATAAAAATAGTTAAAATGCTAGTGCCGTTAATGATTTGACGAAATGTTAACGCAATTAATACTACAAAAGACAGTTAACAGCTGCGGCGTTAAAGATTTCATAAACCGTTAACGAATTTTTTTTTCACCACTTCGCGCCATTAATACTGTAATAAACCGTTAACGACTGGAGCCATTAACAGTTGTTCCTTTAATGTTGTTAATAAAAATGAGATCGTTAACTAACGACAACTTAAAAAAAGAAAATACCGGTAACGAAACAAAGTTTCGTTGTAACCCTCTAAAACTAACGGCTACCTGAGATTTCATTTTGAAAACGGTTGGAACTAACTGTTAACAAATATAGACAAAAGTATCAAACAGCCTTTTTCTTTAGGTCGTTATAAAAATGATGTAAGATTGGAATGTTTGATGTTTTGCCGGTGAAACATACAAATAATAAATATCCGTTTACAGAAAATCATTTTAGACTTCTTGTTTTTAGAGGGAAGCACAAGCAAGGGTATATATTAGTTCTGAGATTTATATTTTTGCCTCACCCCTCTCTCTTTTCGAATCATGAAGAGAAATGAAGAAAAATTAAGAAAAATGAAGGAAAGAGGAAAATGGGGGGCGGGAAGGGGAAAGGGGAAAAGGAAAAAGGGAAGGGGAAAATAAAATGGAAAGGAAAAGGGATGAGTAAATGGGAAGGGGGAAGGGAAAAATGAGAAGAGGGAAGGGAAAAGAGGAAGAGGAAATGGACCAGAGGGAAGAGCAAAGGGAAGGGGGAAAAGAAAAAAAAAACACAAAAAAATGGTTAAACAACACTTGGTGGGGGGACCTTGAAGTTGATCTTTTTAGGGTACCAAAACGCTCCACTATACAACTAAAACCCCAAACAAAATTAGCAAGGTGTCACCCACCGCAGTAAACTTCTTCAAAATTTGCGCGGGCTTTAGAAACCTGCAAAATATACCTGTTTTTACGTTGTGGATTTGGGAAAAAAGTATGATTCTGAAAGGGGGGGGGGAATATGAGTCTCACAACTTATTTACACCACTTCCGGATTTTCTCAAATTAAATAGGTTAACACCAATTTTTGTTTGATCTTAAAGACTAAGATAGAATACTGAAATTTGTAAACACACAAGTCGTGAGCACAAATATCTGACGTCCAGTGACCTTTTTGCCTTATGGCCTCTGAAGAGACTAGATCTAAGAAGACCAAGTTAAACGTCATGTTAGAATCAAAACAGAAGTTTTGGTGTTTGATAGAATTCCATTCAAAGCATCATCTTGATATGAATACTAGCTTGAAACCAAGGGGAGTCATAGTTAGTCTGAAAACCAAACTAAGAACATTCCCGTGGTTCTCCCGAGTTCCCCAATAAAAAATTTGAGGGTAATCGGTCCAGGTATTCCTGAGTTATGATCAGACAAACAAACAGACAAACGGAGATTAAAACTTTAAGTATATACATATAGATAGATGCATGTGCTAACAATTTTGCAGTCTTCGACCTCCTGAAACTTCAGAAACACAATATAATGTAAAGGATATCTTATGTTTTTAGATGTTACGAGGCTCCTGTGTGCCTCTAAGGTGAGAATCCTGGGGCCGAACTTTATGAATTTGACCTGCATCCCTGAACTACCCACTACCGGTTCAAATTCATAAAATTTGGTCCCTGGCTGAAAAAAAATTGACCCCAAAAACAAGGAATTTTATCTTTTTTCCGAGTGAATTCATTATTCTTAATTATAATTTACCTCTCGTTCTTGCTCTGCCCTCCTAGTCCGTGCATTTTCTTCGGCGAGTAGATTGCGTGCTTGGTTCAACTTTTTTTCAAGAATCCGAGCCTGAAAAATATGATAAATAAAATTGATCGAAATATTTCAAATTAAGTTAGGAATAAATTATAATATTGAGCTGTCATTTGTATTTTTTCTTCTTCAGAAATTCTTTTATTGTCACCACGAGAGAAAAATATCAGGGTAAAAAAGGGTAAAAAACTATAGCTTTTTGACTGACCTCCTGAAAGGATTTATCCAGCTGTGACTGCAATCGTTCATTCTCTCTTTCAATTTCCTTGAACCTTAAAAAATTACGTTATTTATTATACGGAATCATTTGATCCAGTTATTAGTATCCTTCTTTTAAACTGTAATTACACAAACAATCAATTATTACAGGAAATCTTAAATAGAATAGAAATCTAGCAATTTTAACAAATCTTTAACTGAGTTGAATACTGTAAACTTAGTAAATCATTCTCCGATTTAAAATCACTCAATCAATAATAATAAATGTGGAACTAACATCTACTTTTTTACTCTACAGAGGTTTGGTCCATCACCATCACCGAATTTAAAATTCAATAATAATTAGCTAGGCCTACCTTCGTATAGAAATACCACTATTGATTACATAGGTTGAAAATTTATCTTCGCAGCTTTCATACAAAACCTATAAATTTAAATCATGTTTTATGTCAAGTTCTTTTCAAATTTGTTAGATATACAGCTACTTTAATTTTTACTTCATCGTTTTGCTTGCGTGAAAATACTGGAAATTGGCTATATCAGATAAAGACAAAAAAATGCAAGAAACAAAACAGGAAATAGGCTAATCAGAACAAGAAGACAAAAATAATGCAAGAAACAAAACAGGAAATAGACTATACCAGAACAAGAAGACAAAAATAATGCAAGAAACAAAACAGAATATGTGAGGGCAAATTTTTTTTCCAAAAATGCTGCATTTAGGGTCAAATAGTAAATATACGAAAGAGAGACGGCGGAAATAAAAATAATTTTAAATATTGAGATTAAACAATTTCAGGACAAGCGCAGTGTGAGTGAAAAAAATAACAAAAAAGTAAAACGAAATCAAATTAGATAAATAATATTTACATACTTGGCTTGCAAAACTCTATTACGAATTTCTAACCTCATTCCTCCGCATAATATCATCAAACTGAAGAACAAGGGATCTATAGGAAGAAATATTCTCTGCAGAACCAGAGAACTTCCCTCTCGGAGGAGGAGGAGGAGCCATTGCTTTACGCATTCTAACAGAATTAAAAAGTTTACTATCTACATAAAATAAAATGATAATTTTTAATGTAGAGCTTTGTAGAGGTCTGTGCTAGTAAACGCTTTTGCGAGTCCACCCCCACCACCCCCTTTCATAACAATTTTGGGTAATTTCTTAGAGAACGATTTGTGGACACCCCACCCCTTTTATCAATTTTGTACGTCATTTTTTAGTTAAAATAATACAGATATATAAAGATGGTAATGTGGCCGCAGCGCCCGGCCCTTAGCCTGTCCTAGATGCTGCGCTCGGCCCCTAGCCTATCCTAGCCGCAGCACTCAGTCCAGAAATTGTCCTAACTTAGTTTTTGGACCCCTCCTATCAATTTTGTACACGACCACTTATTTTTCAGCAAAATTATTTACTTTTAATCATTTTAGGGCTAGTTTATGTTAGAAAATTTCTGAGCCGAGCGCTATGGCTAGGATACTAGGGGGCCGGGGCCTTCATTTTCAACAATTTTCAGCAAAATTAGTATATATTTAGGGTTAGGTTAGGTTAAGACACTTCCTAAGGCGAGCTCCCCGACTAGGAGAGGCTAGGGGCCGAGCGCCCCGGCTAGAATAGGCTAGGGGGCCGGGCGCTGCGGCCACATGGTCAAATTTATGAATTATATCCATGCTAGATACAAGATCCATGTACAAAATAGGTCGGAGGAGGGTCCAAAATCGTATGCTAGGAAATTACCTTAGCCTACCCTAACCTAACTTACAAATAATACAAAATAAAACGCAGCGCTCGGCCCTCTAGCCTGTCCTAACCGCAGCGCTCAGCCCAGAAAGTGTCTTAACCTAACCTAACTTTAAGTAAATACTAGATATAAGTTATGTACAAAATTGATAAGAGGGGGGCCCGGGGGGTCCAAAAATCGCTTATTGGAGTGTGGAGAATCCAGAAAGTCGTATGAAAGTCGTATGGGACCCATATTTTTACCAATTGCATATGCAGGGCTCAATTAAGATAATGGCTGGGTGGTCCCAAAATGTTTCTCTGAAAAATTACTAATATATTTTACTAACACCCCCAACTAAACATCACATTATGTTTTAACCTACGAACCTCAGGATTTAAATGAGTGAAGTAAGTTTATAGTTCTTGGTTTGTCCCGCTTTTTTTCAAAGGTGACGCTGCAGAGAGAATGCCGCAGATATTTGTGAAAAGGAGGATCTGCGAAACTGTTTTCACAATAAAGAGTCTACGCAGTCGAGTGTGGTGGATGTCGATAGAGCCTATCCTCTAGTGTTTACTCCACTTTTACACAATTTTACACATCAAAACCAATTCTTTGACACTTGCCGATATCTAATAAAGTATTTTGATGGAAAAAAACTTGAAAATTATCTTATATTTTTGAATAAATATTGATTGTTTGATAATTTGAAATGAAGACGACATTTGCGAGAGGAAAAAATATTTTTGTCTTTTTCCCCTTAAATAATACATTTTAGATCTAAATGCGCATTTTTAATGTAAACTAATAATTCTAAATGTTTTAAAATTGGTTTTGATGTCTAAAATTGTGTTGAAAGAGTTGAAATTACTAAAGCGCGAGGGTGTCCGTATATGTCTCATATATCACGGGCCGCTGCAGTAGTACATTTGAATTTCCGGTCCCGGTTTGTACTGCACCTAAGGGACATTAGCTTAATTTAGCAGACAATTAACAGGAATAGCCAGTGCAACAAGGTACGCGGTCAGACTTTGTATGCTTCAGATAGGTTGAATTTACTTTTACTAAACGGGCAGAGGTGCGTGATACGGTGATATGTAGCTCTCCAAACACAAAACTGGTTCATCATCATCTTATGGTGGAGGAAGGTACAGGACAGGGGATATCTTTGGTAAGGTGAGGTAAGGCGTTAAGAAATTGATTGTTTGATAATTTGAAATGAAGACGACATTTGTGGAAGGAAAAATATTTTTCTGTTTTTCCCCTATACATTTTAGATCTATAAATGCCCATTTTTAATGTAAACTATATGTATTCAATTGGTTTTAATGTCTAAAATTGTGTTGAAACAGTTGAAATTACTAAAATGCAAAGAGGGATAGGCTCTAACACACATCACTGGGGGACCATATTTTTATGTTTTACATACAGGGTGTCCCACGAAACATGACATTTAAAAAATCGTTATTTTTAGTTAAAACATCCTTTTGCTTCATTATCTTTCACTTTAAAATCAATTTTAATAACATGACTCACATATAATATTTTTTGATCTTTGGTACTAAACAACTCAACAAATTATGGAAAAAGACATTCTAAACTATTCACCAACTGTCATGTTTCGTAGGACACCCTGTATATGATACATACATATATGCTGAGATATGATATCCCACGAAACATGACAGTAGCAAGACGACTTGAATGTCGTTTTTGAATTATGAGTTAATTTTCGACATTTGCAGTCGTCAACCTACTTTTACATGCATGATTTCCTGAAACAATAAACAAAAAATCCTTCTATTCCTGGTATTTACAAAATGTGGTCTGCCTTTTCTGTGCTGTCAATATTACCGGAGATATTAAAAAATTCGTTCAGACTTTAAATTTATTAAATGAAACCAAAATTGTTGAAATCTGAACGAAATGTTTTATAGTTTTAAGTGAGGGGGGTGCTAGATTTATTTGGGAACAACAAATCCAGATTTAGGAACAAGAAGACATGCCGCAGGGGAAAATTTTTTTTTTACCTAAGATATTTTTCCTGTTTTGCACTAGGTTTTCTTTCCCATAAGTGCTATTGAAGAGCTATTCTGAAATCTCAGGGGGGTGCGAAGGTCCTGCCGCCCCCCCTCTATCCGCCCCAGCAGACCACATTTTGAAGACGCGGCTTAAATTCATTAAATTCGGACACAGGAGTGAAAAAGATTCATTATAATTTTTATTAGATAATGATTATGGCGGGTCCAGGACAAAACATGAATATGAATATAGTTACCCCCGCTATAGGTAGAAAAATCCGGCAGGTACAATATTAAAGATTATATTTGAAGACCTGCTAGGAAATGAATGACTAGTATTACTATGTACGTACGGTATACGGCCTATGCATATGTGCTAAAAATCAACTAAAAATGTTATAACATACTAAAACAAAAAATTTTCAGATTCTTTTTAAAGTTTTTTTGAAATTGATTCAGCCAGCCTAAAATTTATTAGATTCCAAAAACGTGAAAGGCCGTTATGATTACAAAGTGTGCTGGGGTGTGGTGATATTCAACATTTCTATCATAAACAGTGAAGTTTTTAACACATATTGCCAACAAATCCCAACAAAAATCCTGGATTAGCGACTCTGCCTTTACTACAGGAACATGCTTTCATGCTTGTGGTGTAATGTTTTAGTTTAGAAAGCCATGGATGCATTGCAGGGTATGGTTTGAAAAAAAGACAATTTTTAGTTTTACTTTAATTACTTGAATTACATATAATGATATTAATTTTAACGGACTCATATGGTAAAAAATCTTAAATTTAGATGTAAATAAATGATTTGACTAAAAAAAATCACTTTTAATAATTTGTAACTATACTTACAGGTCGAACAAAATGGATTTTTTGATGAACTTAATCCACGAAATTATCACCGAAGTTGTCATTCTTGACGAAGGTCTTTTTTGTAATTTATATATGTATACAAGTAACAATTTCTATTTGTTTAGGTGTTTGTCTGTTTGTTTGTAAGTCCGCTCATACCAACTCTTGAACGATTTGCCTCAAATTTTGATTGGGGAACTCGAAAGTTTAATTTTTACCCATGTGTACTAACCGGGCGGATTTTAAAGATTTTTACTTTTTGTAATTATAAATTTTGTGATTATGTGGTTTGTTTAAATAATAATTACTGATTACACTGAATTCCCATGTTTCTTGGGACACCCTGTATAATGATATTAATTTTAACGGACTCAAATGATAAAAATCTTAAATTTAGATGTAAATAAATGATTTTACTAAAAAATCACTTTTAACAATTTGTAAACTATACTTACAGGTCGAACAAAATGGATTTTATGCTGAACTTAATCCACGAAATTATCACCGAAGTTATCATTCTTGACGAAGGTCTATTTGTAATATATATACAAGTAGCAATTTCTATTTGTCTGGGTGTTTGTCTGTTTGTTTTTAAGTCCGCTCATACTAACTCTTGAACGATTTGCCTCAAATTTTGATTGGGAACTCGAAAGTTTGATTTTTACCCATATATGTGTACTAACCGGACGGATTTTAAAGATTTTTACTTTTTGTAATTATGTGGTTTGTTTAAATAATAATTACTGATTTATCAGTTTTTCAGCCAAATTAGAAGTGTAAAATTTATAAAGTAAAGTAAATGTCGTCTTGATAAATGTTATCTTTGCAGTCATACTTATGGACTGCAATTTTTTATTTGAATTTTTTTAAAACGGATTTTAAAGGGTGTCCCAATAACCATATGACATAAAGTATTTAGGTCGAAGTAGTTCTGGTTGCGGAGGAGAGTCGGGAGCACTGCAGGGAAAAAAGTTCTTTTAGAATTATACTTATTGATACTTTTAACCTCAGAAGTATAATATAAATAGAAAAAAGGCAATTTTAATTTAGCCTTAAAAGTCAAAAAATATAATCTAAGGAAAATGCTGAGGAAAGCAGACATGAGCCACAATAGTTTTTCTTCCATGACACAATTAAACATTTCTTTCTTACGTCAGCCATGAGCCATAACAATTCCGTTTTCCTTAGCACTACCAGGTAGAGATACTACCAGAGGCCTCTCAAATATTCTAGAAATTTTTCTTTGTAAATAATAAATTTTATTGTCTCTATGTTGGGGATTTTAGAAGGGACTTGGCATGCAGTAAAGTATAACTTTAATCTGAAGACATGACTGACGATTATTTTTGATAAAAAAAGAATAATCACATAATTTTTTTGCCATCCCATCTTGATGCATTTTGCAAAGCACTACATACCATATAGGGGCATTAAATAATTCAAATATTTTAGCGAATCATTTATTTCTTTGGCAGCATAATTTGTTTTCTAAAAACTTTTCACAGAGCATTTTTGGAATGATATCTTCAGTAGTTCTCACAGCACAGGTTACACAAACTTAGTTTTTAATTACCTGCGTCCGGCCAACCGAATCCTACCTTTAGCATGGACTTCATTATCTTTCCCATCTATTTTTTTTAAATTTAATTTTTGCTCCAAAATAATATGGGCAATTGAAACCCCTTTTTTATTTTTCCTGAAAGTTATTGAATGACAAAAGTTGTAAAAAAAAGGTTAAAATATAGTTAACATTGTTTTCAACATTGAAAACTTGACAGATCTCCGTAATAATAATGTTCTAAAAATTTGAAGAATTTCGATATTAACTGTTTAAACTGGATATATTACTGCTTCATTAAAAAGATACCATAAAATAGATTTGAGTACAGTGCCGTAAGGGTAAAAGATAAAATAAGTGTTTTTTTTAAGTTCTGAACCCTCTAGTAATAAGTTATAAGAAATATATATACTGGAAGTTATTTATGCGTTTTATTAGAGTCTGACTCACGTCCTCTATAAGCCAATACATATTTTTAATAGCTTTAATCGGAAAATTCTTGAATTCAAAGGGAAGACGATATCCCAATTACCTCTGTATAGATGAGATCATATTTTGGGCTACCTGATGACAACTTGAAAAACTGTGCATCCGCAAGCTTGTATAACCAGTTGAGAAAATGTGTACAGCGACTTCAGTGTAAAGGTAATTTTCATTTTTACATCATTTAAATCTTTCTCTGAGACAAATAATACATGAGATTTTAGTAGAATTACTAGGAATCCCCGAATTAAATGCTCGCAAGCAAATCCTTTTATTTGAATCAATAGGCTTTTAGTGCACTTCTTGCCTCTTTTTCTATTAACAATTAGTTAGGGATGGATCGTTTTACGAAAAAAAAACGAAAAACAAAAGGGTCTTTTTTAAAATCGATCGTTTTAAAAAGTTCGTTGTTTCGTTAACAAAAGTTTATAAAGTTCGTCGTTCCGTTAACAAAAGTGGATCGTTTTTGATTTTTGACGATTGTTAACGACTACCCTTTGTTAACGACCGTTAAAGACGACCCTTCGTTAAAGATTGTTAACGACCTTTTTAAGACAAAATTCATTTTTTTGGTCGGAAAATCCTTAAATCAGGTATCCCTTAGGTCAGAAAACATTCAGGTTATTTATCTCGAAAAAAAATCTTCCTAAAAAACTGAAATTAATTGTCATAAAACTCAAATTCATTGCACGGGACATTATAGTTCCAAAAGTTCCAAAACTAACACTTGGCACATTTCTAACACACAAATTGAATTGGGATCCCGGCCTATATCCAGAGTAAAAGTCGAAAATAAAAACTATAACTAACATTTTATTAAACATGACGAGGACAACAATTCCTAACATTTTTTTAAAATCAAAGTTAGAATAACAGTTCTTTTCTATTAAATCTCTTGACTGTGTTTAAGACTATGGCAGGTTTTCCATTTTGAAACATTTCCTGAATTTGAAACAATGTCGCGTTTTCGAGACAAAACCCACTTTCCCGTTTTTGAGTATAATCCTCAATTTAAAACAAAACTCACTTTCATCACTTACAAAACAAAACAAAAATTATCTTATGAAGACTAAATTAACTTCTGAAGTATTTCTAGAATCTAAGTTTCCACATTTTATCTGTTAAATTAGAGAATATCGATAGTTTATTTTCAAGCATTTTAAACAAACAGTTTCCCGCATTTCTAGTTAGATCTATATTGTAAGAACAAATGATATTGATATTTTGATTTCTCAATGCTTTAATAATTTTTAAATTATTAAAGAACTGTTTGTTTTTATTTTCTATGTTGTTTAAATTTTACCTTATCAAAAAATCTTGTTTTGTTACGTAAGTGCGTAAATGCTTAAAAATTGACATTGATATGAATTCCGGTAATTGTCTCAAAACCAGGATATATGTTCCGAAAACGCGACATCAGCTGAAATCCGGTTATTGTTTCAAAATAGGGATATGTTCGAAAATGAAATCAAGAAGCTTCCAAAACTAATTCGCACACCTTATTATAAGATGAAAATTGACATATTTATTATTTCAATATAAAGTTTTAGCCATTTCTTTTATAAATATATGGTGTAATTTTGTTCTACTCGTCTTGGATTTAAAGATATACATACTATTGAAAAAGATAACTTTGCAGATTTGGTTTGGTGTTAGTTTTGAAACTAATATCCCCTGTATAAGTGACATTTTTTTAACAGATAGCTTTTCTTTTTGAAGTAATTAAAGTTGAATTTTATATCGTTCAAATTCCAAATATAAATCCAAGGGACGTCAAGGTCCACCATGTTGCCCCTCCTCTATTAAGGGTTAACGCAAAGGCTTAACTTTCGATCCCAGTACCAATTTCATAAACTGTCCCTTTCTTCTTATTCATATAGTTCTATATCTATCTCTCAGAGTATGAATAGATAGGATTCATTTATTAGTTTATATTTTATTGATATTCATAATTCTCTGGTTTAATTAAGCAGCTCCCTCAACTAGCTAGATATCTCGTTTAGCTGCTCCAGTTCGGTATCTCCTACACTGTAATCCTGGATGCTACTGCTTCTAAGGTCTGTTGAATCCAGCTGCTCCTAGAGTCTCTGATGTGTTAGCTGTACATTACCGAGCTGCTCCTTGATTCTCTGATACTCCATGGTTGCGGTGATGCTCCTACTGGCTGAGATGTGTCCATGCGATCCGCAACTACTCCTAGAGTATGAGATGTGCCCACGATATCCACAGCTGCTCCTAGACCATGGGATATGCCCACGATATCCACAGCTGCTTCAAGAGTGTGAGTTTTGCCCACGATATCCACAGCTGCTTCTAGAGTATGAGATGTCCACGATATCCACAGCTGCTCCTTCTACCTGAGATGCTCTCAATAGCTGAGATGTGTCAATTACATTCCCAGCTACTTCTACACTAGGTCTGTGAAGAGCTGTTTGTAAAGAGCAAGGTCTGGTGGGATATGCTCCAGTTCTTCTCTATAACTTGGATATCTTATTCCCTATCTGTATCCTAGTTCATGATATCCTCGTTCCCCTCGGTATCCTAAAGCTCATGGTCCTTCTCTGTATCCTGGACATTCTAGTTCCTGATATCCTTAGTTCCCCTCGGTATCCTAGAGCTTCTAGTTTTCTCTATCTACTATTCCTGACTAAATCATCTAGCTTCTCCAGATATGTGAGGAGCTGTCTAAAAAGACCAACGTCTCCAATCCCAGAATGGTAAAGCATCTGGTATCCTGGATTATCTCATTCATATCTAGATATCCCGTCCTCATAGATCCTCGTTGTTATCATCATTGTTGTCATCATTGTTATCATCGTTGTTATCATCATTGTTATCATCATTGTTATCATCATTGTTATTATCATTGTTGTCTCATTGTTATCATCATTGTTGCCATCATTGTTATCATCATTGTTATCATCATTGTTGTCTCATTCTTATCATCATTGTTGCCATCATTGTTATCATCATTTTTTGTCATCATTGTTATCATCATTGTTGTCATCATTGTTATCATTGTTGTTATCATCATTGTTATCATCATTGTTCCCAGAGTAGGAGATAAATCTATGACATCCTAGTCCTCTTATACATTCTCCCTGGTAGTCCAGACAGACCTGTACGAGAGTAGTTAAATTAGCTGGACTGGATCGAGTAAAACCTCATTTATTACTTGCGTTGTATCTCCAGTGGACCTCTAATTAGGGTCAGCTCAAATATCTAGAGTGGTTGAATTAGCTGTAACCATAGAGAATAAAATATATATTAGCGGGGAATTTAAAGAATCTCTCGGTATGAATTTTTTCACTCCCTTTCAGCCTGAAAGGGAGTTCAAAGTGTACAAATCATGTAAATGTTCACAAATTATATGCAGTAAAGTACATTAATCCAGTATGTTCCCTAGACTATTCATTTCAATTTCGAATTTTTCAAAGCTGTTAAATAAACTTGTTAATGAATTAGGTGAATAAAAAACATCATTTGATTTATAGTTATAACGGAAAATCATCGTTTGCAGAGTGAAAGGCATAGAGTCTATGTGAAATGATCATTAGTCAATTATGAAACCAGCCTATTTCATAATTTGGTTTTCTTTAAACATTAATTTTAGATTTTCTATAAAATGATATTCCAGGGCCCAAAAAGTTATATAGCATAAATATGTGAAGTACACCTGCAGTATGGAAACAGTACAACAAAATGGCCGTTTTACACTTTTTACTAGTAAATTCCCCTCTAATATAAATTCAATTCTCTATGGCTGTAACTCAGAAGAGTTATTCTATACCTCCAGTGGAGCTCGAGTATCTAGAGTAGTTGATGATGAGAATGAGGCTGTCCAACCTCTGATGTATTAGATGATAAGAATGAGGGTGTCCAACCTCTGATGTATTAGATGATGAGAATGAGGCTGTCCAACCTCTGATATATTAGATGATGAGAATGAGGCTGTCCAGCCTCTGATGTATTAGATGATGAGAATGAGGGTATCCAACCCCTGTTGCAGTAGATGATGAGAATGAGGCTGTCCAACCTCTGATGTATTAGATGATTAGAATGAGGGTGTCCAACCTCTGATGTATTAGATGATAAGAATGAGGGTGTCCAACCTCTGATGTATTAGATGATGAGAATGAGGGTGTCCAACCTCTGATGTATTAGATGATGAGAATGAGGGTGTCCAACCTCTGATGTATTAGATGATAAGAATGAGGGTGTCCAACCTCTGATGTATTAGATGATGAGAATGAGGGTGTCCAACCTCTGATGTATTAGATGATGAGAATGAGGGTGTCCAACCTCTGATGTATTAGATGATTAGAATGAGGCTGTCCAACCTCTGTTGCAGTAGATGATGAGAATGAGGCTGTCCAACCTCTGATGTATTAGATGATGAGAATGAGGCTGTCCAACCTCTGATGTATTAGATGATGAGAATAAGGGTGTCCAACCTCTTTTGCAGTAGATGATTAGAATGAGGCTGTTAAACCTCTGGTAGTCCTGGTAAGATATATCATCCTGAGAGCTGTCAATGAAGTACAAGTCCCCAGGCCTTAAAGGGGATAAACGGGAGCTAAGGCTCAAGCGTCTATCCTGTATAAGATCCTGGAGTGTACTGACTCTATTCTCCAGATTCTTTAATAAGTGAGAATCAAACAAAGGGTTTGAGGGGTTTTGCATCGGGTCATTCATCTAAATATTACACCATACTTTAAATACTACAGTTTTTTAAAAGTTCAAAATTAGTGGTTCGTTTTTAAAAACCATGTTTTTTTCTAAAAACGAAACGATCGTTTTCAGAAAAAGGGAAAAAAGAAACGAAAAACTATTGTTTTTTATTGTTTTTAAAGATGATTAACAACCCTATAGTATATGTAACTATATATGTAGAAGTTTCTCAACAATCTAATACATTTTTAGATCCTTTGCTCCGAATGGAAAGAATGTACAGAACATTTCTGGTCAATGAACTTCGATCCATTGATCACTTAGGTATATGTAATATTCAAGCATATTTTCAATTTGATAATTAAACTCTGTTGCTATAAAAATGATCTATAAAAAAACTCACTTAAAGAATAATTTTTTTAAAATCTAGCTTTCATCTGTTAATGGAACCACAAAGCTACGATTTTAAATAGTGTGTAATTCTGATACTTTTATGCAATCAATTGTAAACTTTAAAAGAGGTGTTTGCGAAAAAACGGTTCATACCGAAGAACGCAGCGTCCATACAAATTCAGAAAGTTGCCACATTTGACTCGGATCGTAAAAAAATCAATTTAATTCCAAACGAATCATTCAGATAATTTTTCGACGCATTCGTAAATAGTTGATATATTTCATAATAGTTTTTTATATTTTATGATCTGAGAATTAAATTTGAAAGCGTTTAGAGAATTTTTGATAATGAAGACGACATTTTCATATTTTCCGGAAATGTTCGAAAATCGAGCGCCAGCCGTGAAAACAAGTTGTAAGCTAAATATTATTTTTTTTTAAATATAATGAAATATAACCTATGTACGAATGCGTCGAAAAATTATAGATGATTATAGGTTGTAATTTCTGAATAATTTGTTTGGAATTAAATTGATTTTTTTACGATCAGAGTCGAGTGTTGCAACTTTCTGAATTTGTATGGACGTTACGTTCTTCGGTATGAGCCGTTTTTAACAATTTTCTCTTTATAAACACAACAGATAGAAGTAAGATTAGTAGCGATCACCATCGATAATTTTTCGACTTAAGCCATTCATTTTTCGCGAACACTCCCTTTAAGTAATCAGGTTTTTTGCTTACTCTTCGGTAAATACATTTATATTATAGTTGATCCAGCCTGGCTCAATAGTGAATATGATGGAGAGCATTGTCAGAGAAAAATGCTTGAGGTTTGTCCAAAGCAGTTATTCGGAAAAATATAGATGTATCTTCTAAAAATGGTCTCTGAAAAAGTTTGAAATCAAAATCTTAAAGGGACTGTCTTCGTTAGTTTAAGTGTCCCTCCATTTTAAGAGGAGCATGACTAGGGTTGTTAATCGTTTTTGAAAACGATTATTAAACGACGGTTTTTTTCGTTTTTCTATCGTTTTTTGTTTCGTTTTCCGATCATTTTAAAAACAATCGTTTTAAAAACTTTTTAAAAAAACGATAGGAAAACGAAAAAAACGATCGTTTTTTTAAAAAAAAGAAAACGTTAACATCCCTAAGCATGACCGATTCCCAAACATTAATCTGATCAATATTGTGGAAAATAACGTCGTTTTTGTGGCTTGAAAAATGTTTAATCCTGACAATTTCTTCGTTGATTATGAAGGAAGAAATATCATGCACAAGTTAGCTTTGTAGGACCCCCACAATTGAAAATAATCAGTTTGCTGAAACAAACCATGGATATCTTATTCATACATAATGGGACAAAGCAAATCGGACATGGAATGGAGGGTCACTTCAAATTACGTTTACAGTACCTTTAAGGTTAAAGACATAAGATTAGAAATGAAGAGAAATATTGCTTGAATCAACACACAAATCGTATTAAACATTTCATTTTGTATTTCATCACAAATTGTAACCAAAAGTTATAAAAAAATAAAACATTCACAAAGGATTTTTTCGTAAATCAATTTTTTTCTGATGGCTTCCATACTTTTGTGTTTGAAACTAATTTCTCGTTTAATTATAACGATTTTTGACCTAACTTTCTAAAACTGAATAAGGTTTTACAACTCTTATATTTTGAGAACTACTTTACGCATATATTACTACTATATGACTACATACGTATATATTAGTCAATTGCCATGAAAGTCATGTCTTTTGAATTTCCATGTTCAAACAATTTCCTTGTTATCTGAACAATATGAAATTTAGATAATCTGTCTGATTAATTCCAGATTACAATATTAAATCTTCTCCACATTGTTTATTTAATAATAAATCCACTGCAGTATGTTTGTTTAACCATTTTGTGTAAACTGTATAAACTGGAGAAACGCTACTGGGAGTTCAACTTGAATAGGAAGAGGTTTATTTACCAACCCATTCAGATATTAAACAGGGGAGGTTAAACATCACATAAACAATATGGCCTTATTTTTGCTGCATGTTGAGCTTACAGAAATAATTGACAAAATTTAACAATAGACAATATTGTATTTTGTAAGGGAAAAAAAAATCTTTCATAAAATCGTTAGAGTGCGCGTAATTGCTCGCAATTATTGCTTTCTATTGCGCCATTTCATTGCGTGGAATTGTGCTATAATTGCGAACACGGAAGCAATTTAATTTTTGCGGAATTGCGCGAAAATTGCGTACAATAGAATTGCTTATCCAACTAAAAATCAATTATTTTAACCGTGACTTACAAATGTATGCAGTAGAGACAAGAATGGAAATATATCTGTAGATTTTAAAAAATCACTTGTTTCAACACTTTTCAAATTTTAAAGTTTATTGTGGTTAAGCTACTAATTAACAATTTAAGATGATACATTTTTCATTTGTTCACATTGGAAGAACATTGAAATGGAAACTTTTCCTGGATCAAATTGTATGGTTCGTATAATCAAAATTAGATATTTTGTTACGGTGAGAGTCAGAAAACTATGGTACAAGAAGACAACATTATGGTGTATTTGATGTCATTACAAGGCAAAAATTTTAATTAGTAAATCTAAAAATCAATCAACCGTGACTTACAAATTTATGCAGCAGATACAAGAATGGAAATATATCTGTAGATTTTAAAAAATCACTTGTTTCAACAATTTTCAAATTTCTTGTGGTTAAGCTTAGTAGCTTAACCACAAGAAATTAACAATTTAATATGATACATTTTTCATTTGTTCACATTGGATTAACATTAAAATGGAAACTTTTTTGATTCAAATTGTATGGTTTATATAATCAAAATTAGATATTTTGTAAACAGTAAATATGGGTCTGTTTGAGTCTAAAATGTCGTCTTCTTGCCACAGTTTTCATGCCACAGTTTTCTGGTTATCATGCTGCATATGAATATTGAGAAATAATAGATTAAGTTTAAATTCAATTTTCTTAGCATTTGAGACTGAAATGTTAGTGAAGTTCAGTTTATTGTATGCCACTACCAAAGTTCAAATAGATTTTTGTTGTCCAATAGATAATTGCATTTATTGCGTGCCATAGGGTTTAAATTGAATAAATTATCAAAATTTTAAACCCAACGAAAGAAAGTTGGACGGAATTGCGCGAAATTACATTCTTGCATGCAAGGGTTTGCAATTGCGCGCATGTAAAATCCACTTGCGTTAGAAACCCTAATTACTGTACACGAAGGAAAAATAGAAAAGCATGACGCAGCGCAAAGATAGATTTGTTTCTTGGTTTTTACACTGCCCTGCAGATCAAAATAGAAAAGCTAGGACACATTTTGTTTGCAAATAAGTTATTCTATCTATATAATATAAACAAGACATTCATATATATATGTTGTGTAAAGCCGGCCAAACAGCTGGACCGATTGGGCTGGAATTTTTTGTGTACACTCATGGACACTCACCGAATTTTTTTTTCAATTTTTTATTTTTCCAAAAAAAATATTACACGGGCAACGCCGGGCCCTTTAACTAGTAATTAATAATAATGATAACAGCTAATATTGAATAATGGTAATGTGATATATTCATATGTGGTATAATTCATATATTAATAAAGCGAAAAACAGATTGGGGTGTTTGAGTTTAATTCTAATGTGAGTGTGGGTGTAAAGTTTAAATCCCTATTTGAAGGATGGATGAACAGGAATTGCCAATATCTCAGATAATAGATTCTATCTGGGAAACAGGGTTAATATATTTCGACATATTTTCTACTCAGAGATTTAACCAAATCTTGACATAGATATTAAAAATGTAATTGGGAACCTTTTAGAAAGAAATAAAATTTTTTTAATTAACTTACCATTTTGTGTGGTTTTAGAATACAAGTATGAACTTATGACATTTTTGATATTTACTTTTAAGATAAGATATAGTTTATTGCTAAAAATACACATACAAGTTATAATGTTACAGGCAATAAATCTGCAACTATTTTATATTGTTTACTATTTTTATGTAATTAATAATTATAGTTAATAATTTTATGAGTTTTATGAGTGGAGTGTCTATAGGGTGTGAAACCAATTCTTATTAAATCACAAAGTTAAGGATGCTGGTTCTGCCACTTAAGAAACTGGATTGGTGTCCAGAGTCAGGCTGTTATTTATGGTCAATTTCCGCACTCCGCAAGGACGTTTGGGTCTAAAAACTATTGTTGTTGCGATCTGGTTTGCAGATGAGCTATAGACTACCTTGCGGATCTAGAAGACAGCAGACAGATTTTTTAAGACGCAGTTTCCATCGGAATTCCGCTTTACAGTTTACGTACGAAAAAGATCCGTACTTTGTTCCCATTTCCATGTCATCCGGAATAATTCCGGAATTCGACTTTACGGAAAATTTTCCCGGATCGCTCAATTTCCAAAATGGGATTTTTTTCCAAAATAATGGAAACCCTAGATGCAAGATCGCCTGCACAATATTCTGAACATCAGACCAATATAATATTTAAACGGACATGACTAGTGAATAAATTCATTACGCAGATGATTTCGATGAATTGGAGATATGCGTGTGTTCATATCTAATATAATTGATGAGTTTAGAAGGTGCTATATTTGTACATACTTGGAGTATAGATAATGTGGATTTTATTACAAATAGTTATGTGCATTTCACATACAAATTTTCCGATAAGAAAATTCTCGTAAAAAATAAATTTATCCCTAAAACCTCGCAATACCTTTTTATTCAATTTGTCGCACAAGTCCAAGCTTATTCTTGCTTTATTTCTGTAAGATTTGTTTGAAATTGGATTTTCCTTATTGGATGAATATATTCTATTAGTTTCTAATTGGTTCAAGAAAAAACTGTTCCACATGATACTAAAATCCCTTCTTGTATTGTTTGATCTTTAGCAAGAAAAGATCAGATCATTTGCATGAATATTCATATATACTCCTAGCTCAATGTGTACCGAGATATTTTAATTTGAAGTTTGGTTGTACGGTCGGATAGTCTCCAGGTATGTGCATTAACAGCCGATATATAAGAGAGTCTCAGTGCTCAAATATTAAATATCAGCGGAGACGCATACCCCAGATTTACCAAGATTTATTACAGATGTTAATATTTTGAAAATTATTTAAATACATCAGAAAGTCCAAAAAATCGTTTTTTTTTCATTCGTTATACTTTTTCTGATAGTGGTGTTTCTTCATTTAAATTCATTAATTATCACCAAAATTGACGATCATACATCCTTTTATTTGAAAACGATAGTTATTATTATGAGATTCTGAAGATAAAAGATCACATAATTGTTGTTTACAGATTTCATGCAAAGATGCATGCGATGGCGGAAGAAAATCAAACCCTGAAAGAACATTGATTTTCTTCCATTAACGCTTTCAATTCATTTATCTTCTGTAATCAATCTAAATTTTGCATTACGTAATGGAGCAAACGTGTGAGAATAATTTTTTTAATCTGAAAACGAAATAAACGAAGATTTGACGAAGTTGGAAATTTACAAACCGTCAAATTAATCCAACTTTGGATATTCATGTATAAAATCTTACAAAGTAATCCAACTTTGGATATTCATGTATAAAATCTTACAAATTAATTGAGTTTTTGCCACAAACTCAAATCTTCTGATTCCAATATCTTTGCAATCTTATGGTGCAAACCTTTGATATTTCAAACTTAGATTATATTATCTATACGTATTACTAGTTTGAAATGTCTAAGGTCTACAACATTGGGTTACAAAGATATAGAGATTAGAAAATCAGGGTTTGTGGCAAAAACTCAACTCCTTAATCCAACTTTGGATATTCATGTATAAAATCTTACAAAAGAATTGAGTCTTTGCCGCAAACTCTAAATTTATAATCCCTATATTTTTAAAGACCAATGTCGTACATCTTTGATATTTCAAACTTTTATTATTTGATCTAACAGAATTCATAGTTTGAAATATCTAAGGTCTACAACATTAGAATCCAAAGATATAG